GGACACTTAGGCTCTTTCCATGTTTTAGCTATTGTGGAGAGTGCTGCTATGAACATTGGGGTCCATGTGCTCCTATGCCTCAGCATTTCTGTATCCCTTGGGTAAATTCCTAGCAGTGCTATTGCTGGGTCATAGGGGAGTTCTATTGTTAGTTTCCTGAGGAGCCTCCACACTGTTTTCCAGAGGGGCTGTACCAGTTTACATTCCCACCAACAGTGTAGGAGGGTGCCCGTTTCTCCACATCCTCGCCAGCATCTAGAGTTCTCTGATTTGCTCAAAATGTCACTTTCTTATAACAACACAGAGACCTCAGGGTTGAGACCTCATCACCTGTGCTTTCCAGATAATAAATGAACAGTTTTCTGAATGCTTAAGGAAATAATACTATTATACTAATGCCTACACAGTCAACCTTCTACCTCCTGGGATGCCACAGATCTGATCTACCCAAACATTTACTGAGCACCTACTATGTGCAGGCACCATGTTGTGGGGGACAAATATCTAAGGACTTGTACCTATTATAAAGGACTTTGCTTAGGGAGATCAGAGGTGCATATCTAACTAACAATATGTAAAATATGGCCAAGTGCTGAAAGACACATAAGCCATGGGTTATATGAGTACAGAGGAGGTAAAAATCCTGCTGAGAAGGTTCCCTGGAGGTGGTGGCACTACATTTTTAGCAGAAGGATGGGCAGCACTGGGATGTGTAAACACAGAAGGATGGAATGAAGGTCATTCTCGGTAGAATGGAGTCCAGTGGCTGAACGCTTGGATCTTCAATAATATATCCAGTGTAGTTTCATGGGGAGACCCAGGGCTGAACACACCTGGGCTTGAATCCTCGCTCTTGTGTTTGGGTGTAACAACAGTAACTTACACATGCTAAGAAACATTAAAATCTAACACATTACTATCATCTTCATCCTGTTTTCCCAAAAAGGCTGCGGGATTTTGGTGTAGGTTTCAGAAGATGGGCAGGTTTACATTAAAGTGGAAATGAAACCATGACTTATTTTTTTAAAGGCACACATTAGAGGAGGTAAAAGGCAGATGCAAGATGAAAAGCCTGGGGATTTCTGGTCAGGTGGGCTACAGAAGCTCTCTGTTCTGTGGGGAGCTGGATCGGCTGGCTCCCTACTAGCTAAGAAGTGTCCAACCCTAAATGTGAAAATTCGGAGTCCCTTGCCCTTCCACCCTCCCCACTGCAATGGCAGCTCCTCTGGCTAGAAAAGCACAGGTGGGTGTTTTTAGTCTAAAGAAATCTGATGTTTCTGCTAGTTACCGAACTTGTTTACAAAGTATGTAGGTGTTACCCACACAAATCTTTAAAAGCACTGGCAGAAATAAAATCAAAAGTTACGGCAGTGTAAGTATTCCGGAGCTTCTGGGTGGGTGTATGCAGACGGGAAAGACAAAACCCCTGCCAAGGATCTACACGGAACTGACAGGTTAAGTTGTAACAATATCTCAAGAGCCCACTGACGGTGATCTTGTGCCGCTTTACTGCCTGGCAAGTCTGGAACAGATCGGAGCCACGGCAGCTTTTAAAACAGGCCATCAGGTACAACGACAGAACTTGCTGCCTATCACAGAACTGGCAAGCCCTAATTAACTGAAATACTTGAGAGACACGATGTCCCGGTGAAAGGAACACTGGCTTAACAGGAAAGGCCTCTGCTCCCTTAAATCCTATACTGATTGTCTTCTAAGAACACATTATTCCATTTTCCTTCGGTATGGAGGACAGTGTACTGTACATAACTGAAAACTTTATTTAATCCTGATGCATTTATTGCCAGGTCCTGGGCCGGGCAGATACTAGGGATGCAAAGAAAATAGGAGGTGGCGCTGAGCTTCCTGGAACTCGCTGGGCGTAGCAGTGTCTTACTGAGAACCTCAGCCCCACACACAGCGGTAGCTGCAGGCATAGGGCACTGGGCTGAGGATGTGCATTCACCGTACCCATCATACTGAAAGGCACAGGTAACACTATCAGCAACAGAATGGTTTTCTGCTGTGATTCTCAACTGAGGATGGTGAGGTGGGAGGTGGTCCATTTCCATGAACAGGGAAAGATCGTTTGAAAGATGATCCCTGTATGATTCAACATTCATGTTTCACTCCCCTGCACGAAACGTCTCCTTGTACTGAAATCACTCCTACCCTGAGCCGCAAACCTAAACCTGCGTGCTCTCTCACACACGTATGGCTGGATGCCTGAACACACATGCACATGCTCACAACTGCCTGTGAAGGCATCCTTCGGTTTTATAAGAAGTCACCACTTCCTCAAAAAAAAAAAAAAATCCCATCAAAAACTGGAAACATTCGGTGGAAGATTCTTTTTAACGTGAGCCCATTTTTCACATCTAATTGGAGGTCTCAGCACAGAGGTGAAGTGTGTTCATGCTCAGAGGAAGAAGGCAGTGGCTCAGAAGTGGTTTGTTCTCACTGGAAACCATCTGAAAGCTTCCTCATCCCCAGTCCAGGAGGACCACCTCCTCTAGCCTCTCTCTGCTCACAGACTAGGACGGACAGCCTTCCTTTGCTCCACAGTGCGCCTGCTCCTGAGGGTGTCCTTCCCATGGGAGCCCTAGAAGCGTGTGACCAATGCTCCTTGCGAGCTCGGCCTGGGCTCTGGTCCCTGAGCTCCATCCAAGTGAAGCTTTGGGTCTCCTTGCCCGGGGCAAGTGGAGAAGCAGACCTGCAGAATCTGAACTTCCGTGGCGGCGTGGGAGAGCTCTAGAAGCGGGTAGATGGCCGTGGCTCCACATGTCTTACCACCCTGGCTGGCTGTGTGGCTGCCTGAGTGGCTTTCACCTCCGACTCGCCGCTGCCTCCGCTACCGAATGGACAGACTGCTGCCGGCTCTGCCTGCCTCATGGCTTGGTGTCAGAAATATAGTGAGATGACGTATGTGGATGTGGTCATGTTTCAACACAGTCAAAAGCTATGGAAAATAGATTTGAGCAGGAGAATGTCATCTTCACCAAACAGACTTTCGTCCCTTGTGCTCACCGCTCCCCGCCCTCTCCCCCAGTCCTGCCACCTTGGACCCTCAAGACAGGAGGCCTGCAGGATGATGGAAGCTGATATTCTTCCAAACCGTCAAGGCTATAAAATCACAGTCTGCTGAGCGGAACACAGGGACTCCACCGGCTGTGCAGAGGCAGAGCCTTGTTCTCTCAGTCCGGGGGAAGTGCACATGCCTACCTTCTTGCCTTCTCCATATATAAGGGGAAACTTCAAGTCATCATCCTCAATGGTTTTGTATGCCCTGTAGGGGGATAAACAACATTAACAAAAAAAGGTTTGTACTCAATCAGCGACCCGCTGCCCTGACACAGGCAGCTAGGTACTTCATTCTCCCGGACACTCCATCCATCACTCACTGCACTGCCAGTCTCTTTGTGCATGGAGTTCCTCTTCTTACGGAATCGCCAGTAAGTGTGCACGCGTAATTAACAAATCAGAAAATATCAAGTCTCTATTTACTCCTAGAGGGAGAATAAGGTGGTATGTTCATAACTGGCAAGAAGGGGAGATGGGTTTCTGTCCTATGTGTTTCGTGCCTGTATGATAACGAAGTGCCCCAGCAGCAGTGACAAGAGTCTTGTCCTTAATCCAGAGCTGGAAAACAGCAGAGCTCAGTGGCCGATGGGGTGTGAAACTGCTCCAGGAACTGGTTCTGACCTTCAGGGGTTGTTTATACCAAAGCAGTCTGGTACTGGGATGGCTGGAAAAGGAATATATTTAGAGCCTGTTTGACCTCAGTGTGATATTCAAGGTTGGCAGAAAATTCTTTGTTTCACAATAGCTATTAAATGGCCATTCGACACACGGAAAGAAAAGCCAGTTGATGCTTCAGTGGCTTATTCCAGACATGGTTGTCCAAATGCCATTACCTACACAGCAGAGGCTGGCCAGGCTAACAAAGGAGAGAAAATGAAGTCTGTGTCTTGCAATTTTGCCCATAAGAAGTTAAAAAACAAACAAACAGCAAAGGAACATGGCACTTGGTTACTAATAGTATCACCCTGGGCAAGTGACTCCACCTTTTTTTTTTTTGGTCTTAGTTTCCTTATCTGTAAAATTAGGATAATCATAGAGGATGTAAAGGGCTTAGCGCAGAGCCTGGCACTTGGGAAGTACTCACTTGGTGGTAGCTATTACTAATATTTCCTAGATAACAAATACTTGGCACCCCAGTTCCCCTTCTTGCAAAATGGGGAAAGCACTGCCTGTTCATCACCTCAAAGAAGTATTAGGGACACTAAGTAAAAACTGGGGTAGCTACTAGGTTAGGTGCTAGAAACAAGACACTTCTCAGAAATAATGTTTCCTGAGTGCAGAAAGAAAACTAATTTGTGAAATGGGCTCCTAATTTTGGACATATACAGGCATCTTGAGAGTGAGCATGAAATCAAATTATGGGAGCTCTTGCTACACAAAAGAATGCAATCCAATTCAAAAACAGTTCAACCCCAAAGCTAATGTTAGGACATCCTTATTTCTTGGAAAGATATTTAGGTAAGTTGCTCCTTCCCAAGGGATCAGTGAATCTCTGGCACCAGATGTGCCCAGGCTTCCTGGCCAGCCCTGAGCAAGCGAGTGAGCCTCTCTGGACATCAGAACCCTTATTAATCAGAGAGAGGGGGAAAATGAAACTTACTGGTGGGGTTGAGGATGAAGATGGGCTAATGACTGTGCTGAGATTAGGAAGTATTGAGCACAGTGCCCAGCACATGCTGAGACCTTGATAAATGCCAGTTGCTGGTTAGAGCCATCAAGTAAGCCCAGAGGTACTCTAGGAATTCAACTGTCAAAAACAAAACAAACAAACAAACAAAAAACTGTACTATATCCTTTCCCGAAATCTATCAAATTAACGCGAGGTGGAAACAGCCACTCTGATGTTTTTATATTCATATGAACTATTTAAAATGCGTTGGTATACAAGTCACTTGGGGAACAAATAGGACTATTATTAGAATACACTCAGCTTGGGGATTGAGTGAGTTCTTAGCACAGTGGTTCTCAACCCTGGCTGCATGTGGAATCATCCTGTGAGGGCTTTAAAAAATCCAGATGCCCATGGGATGCCTGGGTGGCTCAGTCAGTTAAGCATACAACTTTGGCTCAGGTCAAGAACTCAAGGTTTGTGAATTCAAACCTTGTGTCAGGCTCTGTGCTGATAGCTTGGAGCCTGGAACCTGCTTCGGATTCTGTGTCTCCCATTCTCTCTGTTCCTCCCCAATTTTCTCTTTCTCTCAAAAATAAAGGTTAAAAAATTTTTTTTTTTAAATCCAGACTCCCAGGTCATAGTTCAGAGCAATTAAATCTGAACCTCCAGGGATGAGAAACAGGCACTGGGATTTTTTTTTTTTTAAGCTACCAGATGATTCTAATTTGTAGCCAGAGTTGAGGACCACTACTATAGACCAAGTGTCATTAGCTCATATTCAAAATCAATTGAGCAATTAGCTTGACCCTAAAGATGATAGACTATATGGCTCAAAGGACAGGAGGGAAATGGTCCGGGAGAGGCTCTAAAGTGGGCGTGCGCACGCCTTGTGGATGAGGCCAGGAGAGGGATTGGCGCCTGAAGACTAAGATCCAGGAGTCAGGAGATTAAAAGGGAGGCAGAAGGTAGCAGCTCCAGCACCAGTGACTGGAAATTACTTAGAGATCAGTACAGACAGGCTAATAGCACTCTTAACAGGCTTGAAAAGGCAGCCACAGAGCTGTTCTCAGATCCCCTGAAAGCCCAGGTCATCAAATTCTCTCAGGGCAGAGACCTTCAGGAGCATGATGTCTGTGTTACCACAGCTCCAAAAGACACACACTCACCTGGGAGTTGTCACCCACAAGGTCAAGTGCAAATTCTAATATTTTAGTTGCTATATTTTCATCTTCGAAAACAACAAAAGTAGTAAAAATAGAAACGAAACTTTGAAAAAGGCTTATTCTGTTCCTGCCATTACTGGTTTTCAGTCACGTAAGAGCCCTCTCCCCTGCTGTCACCAACCTAGGAGAAGGGTGAATAACTACAAATAAAGAAGTACAACACCCTCTCCCTCTCTACCTTTCTGGGTCCTAAGCACAGGTCACCATATAAAGGTAGGCAGACTTCCTTTTTCACAGTGAAAGTCTGGTATGATAAAGGATAAAACAAGTTTAAACTGGCAGCTTCATTAACGTCTGTATGAATTAGTGATAGCTAATGATCACAACAGCAGCTATGACTTACCGAGGTCTGGCCCCACACTGGGCTTGGTGCTAGCTTGCTTTGTCTGAAATGTCTCCTAAGTTCTGCAAGGTTTTATTTGAGGGGACTGAGGCTCAGAGAGGTTAAGTGATTTTCCCATGATCACATACCATCTTAGTGGCCTGAAGCTAGATTCCAACTTCCCCAGAAAACACACCAAAGAAAGGAGACTTCAGGGCTCAGCTCTGGGGATTCCTCATTCTAGCTGAAAAATCTGAGACAAGACCATTATTGTCGGCCTGTCAGTGGGAGAAAAGCAGGCACTGGATGAAGAAATGGGTCTTTTTGACAAAAGGCAAAAGGGAATTTTCTGTGTGACGCAAAAGAACAAAAGATGCCCACATGGGGACAAACCTGGTGGCTGTTTCACTACACAGTCCACAGGGAAGACAGCGGGAAGCTAGGGAAACACCAGGCTGTGTCCTCAGACCCTCCACTACTTACCAGGCATTTCACCTCTATTGAAGAGCCCGGCAGAGGCCTCTCCCACTGACAGCAGGCCTCCCTCAAACATGTGTTTGGGTTGAAGGGGGCCATTCCCGTTCCCACCCATTTGTAAGGCCTGTCTGCTATTCATTTTGCATGGTAGTTCACGTCCAGGCTGTAGACTCTGTTTCCAGCTCAGCCCTGGCTTCTACTGTTCTCAGCTGGGGGACACTGGGTTTGTAGTTTGAGCTCCAAGAGAGGGAGTTATTTGGGACCTATGATAAATAGAAAATGTCCAGAAATAGAAACAGAAGTTAATAGAAAAATGGGTGGTTCAGTCAGTTAAGTGTCGGACTCTTGGGTTTCAGCTCAGGTCATGATCTCAGAGTTCCTGGAATCGAGCCCTGGGTCGGGCTCGGTGCTGACTGCTTGGGATTTTGTCTTTCTCTCTCTCTCTGCCCTTCTTCCGCTCTCATTCTCTCTCTCTCTCAAAATAAAAAACATTAAAAAAAAAAAAAAAAGAAAGAAAAGAAAATGTCTATTCCTGGGGCACCTGGGTGGCTTAGTCAGTTGAGCGTCTGACTTCAGCTCAGGTCATGATCTCACAGTTTGTAACTTCGAGCCCCACATCTGGCTCGCTGCTATCAGCATCTCTCTCCGCCCCTACCCTGCTTGTGCTCTCTCAAAAATAAAGTTAAAATAAATAAATACAATTTTTTTTGTAAAAGAAAAGTTCTATTCCTTCATATCAGATTCCATGATTTCTCAAATCTTGACTAAATTTGAAGATTCCAAATACCAACTACTTAATAGTTTCTACCATAATATAACTGACTAGAGATGATATTCAAATAGTTACTTGCTACAAGAAAGCAAAACTGAAAGGCTTAGGAAAGATTTCAGAATAACTCTTATTTTAGGTCAGTCCCTAATGAGTAGTCATAAGGCCAATTGACAGAAAGATGAGAAAAAAAAATCAAGGCTTATAAAGGGCTAAATTAAAGGGCTTTTCCTAAGTGGAGGCAAGTTGCATTAAGGAAAGAAGTTTCCATTAAACATTTGTTTTTTAAGTAATGGTTTCCCTTGTAATGTTGATTTGGCAAAGCTGAAAAGACAAGGCACCACTGGTCCAGACCTACTGGAAAGAAAAGCATCACTAAGTCGGCTATACCTCCAGTGCAGGAGTCTCTGCTATAACAACATATCTCATACTGGTCCCTAGACTCTGTCATGGATAGTCACTGTCTGGGAGCTGTGCCGCAGACAGCATCAGCCCATTCCACTGGAGAGCAGCTGGGGAAATTCTTTCTTAAACCACCCAGTCAGCCATTGGAGTACTTCTTTCTTTTTTTAAATGTTTGTTTACTTTGAGAGAGGGAGAGTGTGAGTGAGAGAGTGGGGGAGGGGCTGAGAGAGGGAGAGAATTCCCAAGCAAAATCAGCATTGAGCCCGACCTGGGGCTTGATCTCATGAACCATGAGATCAGGACCTGAGCCAAAATCAAGAGTCAGACGCTTAACCGACTGAGGCACCTGGGGCCATGGGGGGTACCATTGGTGTATTTCAATGCCCTCTGCCTCCTA